AAGCAGTGGTATCAACGCAGAGTACTATTTCCGGCTCCACCTCCCTGTCACGATCCAGCAGCTTCCACATCGACTGTATCATTCCGTGGCCGTCGGGGTATTTCTCCCTGTGGCCGTCCTCACGATACCACATTATCTTGCCCCGGTGGATGTTGTAGCGGTGATCTATCTGCCAGAACACTATGCCACGGTTGCTGGTGGACCCTATGCAGTAATCCACGAGAATCTTGCGCAGCCTGTCGGCATCGAAACCAGCCCTCTCCAGAAGGAATTTCACGAGGTTGTTGCCGTTTCTTGATGCGGCAAACATCTTAACATCCTCCCTTGTGTAGAATACCGGGGGCTTGCGCTCTATGTGGCCTATGGTGACGGCCTGCTCGGTGCCCTGTGGGTATTTGATGTAGCCGCAGGTGTTCTCGTTGTCGCAGCGGCCGCAGTCCTCGCTGTATATGGCCACCTCGCCGCTGTCCTGATACTTGCGTGTATCAATGTAGTACGTGAAGCTGTGGAGGTCTCCGCACTTGGGGCATCTGTGGCGTGTGGATGGCCCCCTGTACGGCTGGAGCATGAATCTGTAAAACTTTGCCATGATATTTTTCGTAGAATTTGGTTTATCCTGTCGTTATTCCGTATTTCTGTAGATCCCTAGCCTTTACGAAGGCGTAGTAGTCGCTTATCCTCTGCTGGGCGTTCTCCACGTCGGCCCTTGATATTGGGCCGAAATGGTTGAAGATCCTCTGCACCTCGATGTTGGAGTAGAATCTTTTCTTGAAGCCGAATATGAAGATCCCGGCTTTCTCCAGCTCCTTGCGGAAGTTGTTGGGTGTGCAGTTGTAGAAGTAGGCCATTTCGCATTTCTTTATCTGCTGGATCTCCAGAAATCCATCATTGTTGAAAGTATATTCCATAATCGCTACGGTATTAGATTTTTTTTGTATATTTGCCGTCGGGATTATAGATTTTTGCGTCTCAGTGTCTCATTAAGGGCTTAGTCTGGCAGGATTAAGCCCTTTTCTATTTTGTCTATCGCCTCGTATATCATATAGATCACCTGCGGCACTATTGCGTTTCCGTAGGCTTTGAGGCTCTCGTTTCTCCACTTGGCGAAAGAAATGGTAAGGCTGTCCACATCAAAGGGAAGCCCATCATTTCCTCTGTGAACAGGGGACTGAGTTGGAAACTCTTTCCATCTGTTTTCTGGTAGTAGAGATTCTGATATGGCGTGGCGTATATCCTCGCCACAGTGTCCGGCAGGAGCTCTCCGTATTTTTGCCCCCCCCCCTTCTTCACTCCGGGCGTCGTGCATCCCTTCCAGTCCCTCGATGTAGGCGTCGGGTACATCCCCATATCGTGCATTATAATGGATCTCTCTCTTGATACGCTCCTCTGATTCTGCTTGTACTGCTCTTTTACCGCTACTTTCATGGTGTCGCAGGCGGCAGGTGTCGCTATGATCGGCGGCAACATATCCTTGAACCTCAGATAATCCATTATGCCATTGGGCCGAGTCTCGCCGTTCTTCCTGCTGTGGAAATCGGTTGCTCCTGTGGCTTTCAGTTCCTCCACCCTCTTGCGATGCTCCACTTCCGTAACAAGCGGCGAGGGCATCAGCTCCTTTCTTATAGTGGGCGATGATGAAGATACGGTCTCTCCTGTGGGGGGCTCCCACGGCACAAGCCGGAACAACAATCGGCTGGATGGTATATCCGATGTCGTCAAGCTGCTGACAGATCGTGTCGAGCACGTATCGCTCTCTACGCTCCATGTAGAGAGTCTTGCCGAAAATATTGGCCTCGCTTCCCACCTCAGCATCCTTGCCGGGGAGCGCCATCGTTGTGATTCCAGCAACGTTCTCACCAACAAACCAAGTGGGTCGCACTTGCTCAATACAGCGGAGCATATATGGCCAGAGGTAGCGGTCATCCTCGCTGCCTCGTCGCTTCCCGGCGTAGCTGAAGGGCTGACAGGGAAAGCCGCCTGATAATACTGTAACCTTGCCTCTCCACTCGGAGAAGTCTGTTTTTGTAATGTCGTCATAGCTTTTGGCATTTGGGTAATGGTATTGCAAAACTCGGCGTGGGAAATCCTGTATCTCGCAGTGGAATACATTCTCCCAGCCCAGCATCGAGGCGGCTATCTCAGGGCCGCCGATGCCGCTGAATGTGCTTGCGTGTGTTATCATTGCTGGAACAGATTAGGCTGGAACATTTCGGGATTCCTACGCTTGAACTCCTCCACCACCTCGGGCGTGGCCTTGGCCAGATAGTCCTCTATCTTGCCGCCGAAATTCTTGCCACGGTTCCAAGCGCTGTTGAGCTGGTTGAGCCTCTGGTACGGCAGAAGGATGATATTGGTGGTGGCGGTGGAGACCACGGCCTCTGGTACGGCCTCGGCCTGCGGATCGCCTGCCTGTGGATCGCTGTCCTCTGTGTCCTGCGGCTCTGCCTGGGCCTCCACCGGTTCCGTGGCCTTGTCCTTCTCCTTGATTGATATAATGTATATCAGGTAGAAGGAATAGATGGCGTAGAATGTGGACCCTATCCATATCATTGTGCTTGGCTCTATCTGGCTCTGAAAGTGCATGAACACCGTGAAGCCATCCAGAAAGCCGAAAACCAGCTTGTGCCACAGGTGGTGGAGCTTGCGGATCACCATTGCCGTAACTGTGCTGTATGCGAGGGCGAGGAATACGCACCTCGCAATGCCCCAGTTTGTAACCTCTCCCTTGGCCTCGGCCATGCGGAGAAACATGTCGCTGTTGGAGTCCCACATCTGGCAGGCGAGTATCACCAATACCGCCGTGATGCCTATGCGGCCCCAGTTGGTAGAATTTTCTTTCTCGTTCATTTCCGTAGTCTTTTTTTTGATAAAGGGAAGGCCGCCGCTGCGTGCGGCCCTCCCATAACCATAACATAACAAACAATTAAAACAACTAAATTAAAACCAATTATCCCAGAAGTGGGTGTCGGCCGAGGTCTGTTTCCTCACCTCGCCGTATATGATGCTCTGCCCCTTGAAGATCCTCTGCTGTCCGGCGTGTAGGCTGTCGATGCTCTCCATCACGCCGCCCATGCTCTCCATAAGGCTGTCGAGCTCGGATTTTATGGTGTCGTGGTCGGCGGTCAGGCCGTTGAAGCGGCTGTTTACCTCCTCCCGGAACTCCAAGAACTCCTCCTCGCTCACCGGGCGGTAGTGTGTGCTGAGGTAGAACATAAATGCCGTGGTGGATATCACCACCAAAACCGATATGATGAATACTTTCATGATGCTATTTCTTTTTTTTGGAGACCGCCTCCTGCTGCGCCTTGTACTCGGCCTCCATCATAAGGCGGCGGTCGTGGTCGCCTGCGCTGTGGAAGGCCGGGGTGAGAAGGTTGGCTACCCGGCAGTCGTATAAGTAAATGTGTCTGCTGTCGGCCCAGTTCTTTATGTAGAGCGAGTCGGCCTTGCGGGCCTCCCCTGTGAGGGCTGTCTTTGATGCGGCGGCGGCCTTGGGTTTGGGTGATGGTTCAGGTAACATTGTGTAAACCGTTGTCCCCAAGGCGAATATCCAAGCCATGTTCATAAGTACCACTATCTTCTTGGGCACTCTCGTAAAGATCCTAGTTATCATAACTAGGTCCTTCACCTTGTTCCAATCGAATCCGTATTTCTTTTCCGCATAGTCGCACAGCTCCTTCTGCTTGTTCATCGGCAGGGTCTCCAGCGTGTAAACGCCTGATGTGAGGCTCTTGATCAGCTTGCCGTCGGCCAGCTCCTTGCAGAATTTCTGCTTGTCGTCGTACTCCTCCCGGAGCTTGTCCTTATTGACCGTGAGAAGCCACTGCGAGAACAGCGCCATCTGCGTGGGTGATGGTTTGGATGCCGTCTCAATATCGTTTGAACACGGTTTCAATGCCGTTTCATCATCGTTTGAACGCCGTTTGGATTTCGTTTGAACATCGTTGATACCGGGGCTCTCCGCCCCTACTGCGTTTTCCGGCTCGTCCTCTCCTCCGGGGGAGGGTGGGTCTTTGTACTCCACCCTCCCACTCTCGTAGAGGCGGGCCACTTCTCTATCTTCTCTATTCATCTTCGTAGAATGTTTTGTAATGTGAAACAACTTCTTATAGAATCCATATCCATCGCAGGACATTCGGTCTTGTTTCCGGGTATCTCGCCGTGTCCCTTGATGCTCTCGGCCGGAAGCCGGTAGTATGTTTTCAGGAACAGGATCGTGCAGAATAGGTTGATCCTCGTTCTCCATTGGTATCGCTCGGGCTCGTGCAGGCATACCGCTATGCCTGTGCTGTTGGCGTTGGGTGCGTGAATGGTCTTGTCGTCCAGCTGGTGCATTTGGTAGACCTTGCCCCCCATCAGGTAGAAGTGGTAGGCGAAGCCGCTCTCCCACTTGTTGTACACCCTGTGCTGGCATTGCACCTCGTTTACCGAGGTCTGCCGTGGCACTGCGTCGTAGTGCACCGCTATGGTGGCGGTGGTGTCTCGCTTGGGGCAGGTGTTGTCGTATATCCCGGTGTAATCCCGGTATGTGGCCACGAAGGCCGCCGCCGCCATCCCCATCATTATGAGAACAGACCAGAGACAAAATCGAACAAATCTTGCCATTTCCCAGATTTTATTAGCCAGAACACGAAGAAGCCGAACACGAAGAAGGCCATAAGACCCAGTATCTTGGCGGCGAAGCTCTTGAAAACCTCCTTGATCACGCACTCGGTGATGATGTCGAGCATCAGCCACTTCCATATCACCTCCTTGATGAGCCACCTCCACAATATGCTGCGCACTATGCAGATCACCGCATCCATCAAAACGAAATCTATCGCCACTGTGGAAATAATGAGGCTTACGGGCCACACTATCTTGAACCACGGAGGCCCTATGGGCTTCATCTGCTTGAGCCAATCGACGAAGGGAAGGTCTGCGTGGATATCGAACTGGCCGCCAAACTCGACGTTTGGCTTGTTGATGTCCTCTATGTAGATGTAGGCCCTCGCCTGCTGTGTGTTTTCGGTATTGTCCATTTTCGTAGTATGTTTGATGAGAAACTTAGACTAAGGCGGTGCTGCTATCGCATCTCGGCGCAGTTGTTTATTACCACGCTCTTGCTTGTGCGTGTCCATGTGAGGGTGAGGCTTCTGCCGTCCTTGCCTCGCATCCATGAGCCGATTGGTGCGTTGGCCTTTGTGTAGCCTGTAAGCACCTCGCCATTCTTGCGCTGGAATGTGACATACTGGCTGGGGTTGCCGTTGGTGCTCATTCCCTTGAACTTCACGAGAAGGACTTTCACCTTCTTTGTTGTGGGTGTTGTTGCCATTTTGTTTGGTATTAAAGGATTAATAAAAAAGAGAGGCCGTTTTCTGTGTTCCGGCCTCTCCGATAGTTAGACTGTGGTAGGCTGTGAAAGGTCAGGGTGTGGTAGCTCTGCTGTTACTGCTCTGCGCTGTCTGGCTCTCCTGACGGATTGCCGCCCTGCTCCTCCTGTGTCTTATCAGGCTGCTCCTCCTCGTGCTCCTTCTCCTGAGCCACTTCGTTCATGATGTGCTTTACGATGCCCTTGACGAGTGCCACAAACTGATCTCCGTTGATGGAAGACATCTGCTTGCATGGGAAATTCCCTGCCGAAATCTGGATTTTGTCGATTGTAAGATTAAACATGATAAAATCTGTTTTAAAAAGTGAATAACTAAGGTTTGTTGTATATATTATAAAGTGTGCCCGTCCAAATCGTCCGAGGCTTCCGGGCACTTCTTTATATTCAGGGAGTAGTACAGATCGGCGAGGTCACGATGGAACATCGCCGAGCCTCTCTTGCCTGTATTGTCGTAGCAGGGCTCTGTATAGCCCGGCGGCGTATCGTAGAGGTGGTTTTTCATCTGTACTATAATTGTGTTCGGATTCACATTGCGATGCTCCGCATACTCCTTCTGCGATATCTTGGGCCCAGCCACTATCTTGTTGCTTTGCGCCATCATAAGAAGAAGTAGGGTTTTCACCTCCGAGATCTCACGATGCAATTCCGAGACTGTTATTTTTTTTTCGGTAATTTCTTCCATATATAAAGTAATTTGTTTATATTTGCCACGTTATATATCGTTTTATCACGTTATATATCGTTTTATCACGATGCAAAGTTTGGAAATTTTCCTATTCTTTCCAAATTTTTCCGCCATTTTTTACTAATATTTTTATATCTACTTGAAAATGAAGGCACTACAAAGACTTAACGATGCGCTAAAATCCTTATTTCTTTCTAATTCTTGTCCAAGAAAGAAAGATTGGGCAGATTTTTTGGAGGTGGATTATGGATATTTGTGCGGCATCACAACAGGAAAGGAGAAATTATCCGATTCTTTTTTGGTATTAGTCCAGAATAAATTAGGATTAAATTCCAATTGGGTACTTACTGGGGAAGGAGATATGTTGATTGATACTCCTGAGGATTCAAGTAAAAACTTGTCCGTTCCCACTGAACCCAAGAAAAACTTGTCCGTTCCCACTGAACCCAAGAAAAACTTTGAGACTGTATTAAATCTCATTAAGGCGCTTAATTTCCATAATTTCCGCAAGCTGGCTGCGGCCATCGGCTACGCCAACACACAGCTTATCTACGACCTCAACTCCGGCAAGGCGCAGAAGATCCCCGGGGACTTCATATCCAAGGTGTGCGCCAAGTTTCCTGAGGTGAATGTCCGCTACCTGATGTATGGCGAGGGCGAGATCCTGACGGATGGCAATATCGGCCACGGCGTGCTGAGAGAGCCGGAGGAGCCATTCAACGTGGGCCGCATAAGCGAGGACGTGGTGGAGCAGTACCCCAACGACACGCCTATGGCCGTAAGGCAGGGCAAGCTGTACTCCGTGGATATGCAGACACTGGGAATGGTGACGCTGAGGGACTACTACGCACAGAACTCCCCGGCCGACAAGGCCGCCGACACAGCAATGCCGCCACGCACCATAATATACCAGACCCACACCAACCTGCTGAAAAGATGGGGCATCCTGAAATACGACTGGCTGACGCTCCAGCTGATACCCGACCACAGCAAGCTGATAAACGGCAAGGTGTATCTGGTGGTGTACGAGAACGGCATAATGGTAAAGAGGCTGGAGATAGAGGAGGGGCACTACATACTCTCGCTGCCTGTAAAAAGGCCTGACTACCCGGATCTGAAAGTATCAGCCACCGCCGAGATGCACTTCTACGACATAGTATCGAGGATCACCACCAACATAGGCAACATGATAGACGAGAGCGACGATGGCGACTATCTGGCCCACGCCTGTGCGGAGGCCAACAAGCATCTCCTGATAAACGAGCAGAAGGCCCACGACAACACCGCCGCCGCATTGAAGATAATAGACAAGCTCACCAACAAGTAGGCAAAGAAAAAGGGCGAGGGGTGCATCACTGCGGCCCCCGCCCCAATTCTACGAAAATGAAGTAATACCTACGTAAAACTTCGGGCGCAAAATTATGAAATATTCCGTAAAAACAGAAATAATACAGCGAGAAAAAGGCAAAAAAAATTACCCGATACGCATGAGGGTGACCTACTGCGGCCGCCGTGTGGACCTGAGGCTGGGCTACTCGATACCGCCTGCCCTGTGGGATGCCGAGAGGGAGTGTGCCAAGACTAGGGTAGGGGCGGCCAACAAGGAGCTGTGCCTAGCCATAAACCGCAAGATAATGGAGACTCTGGAGAAGCTGGATGAGCTCTTCAACGAGTGCGAGTACATAAAGCGCAGCGTGCCCACCACGGAGGAGGTGAAGGCCGTGCTGGACTCCACAGTGCTGGGCAACAGGATATCCAAGGTGTTCCAGCAGTTTCTTGATGAGAACGGCCATCTGGAGAAGGCCACCCGGAAGATATACAAGGCCACGCTGGCGCAGCTTCTGGCGATACTGGGCGACATAGACATAAGCGAGATATCCGCCGATGTGATACAGCGAGTGGTGGACAATATGGGGCAGCGTATGCGCAACTCCAGCATAGAGACATTCGTAGAGCGCCTGCGATCCCTGCTGAAATGGGCCGTGGGCAAGAGGATATACTCGGGCAATGCCTTGGAGTACAAGCTGAAGCTCAAGAAACTGAAACAGCCGATAGTATTCCTCACGCACGATGAGCTGATGGCCTTCTACGGCTACCAGCCCAAAAAGGATACGGAGCGCAAGGTGCAGATGGCGTATCTGTTCTGCGCCTTTACCGGGCTCAGGTTCTCGGATATGAAGGCCCTAACGTGGAGCAACGTGGGCGACGGCTACATAGAGTTCGTGACCAAGAAGACCAGCGACCTGCTGCGTGTGGAGCTCAACAAGAGTACTCTGCGTTGATACCACTGCTTGAGATCTAGGAGGCAAGCCGACTGCGACAAGGTTTTCCAGACGCACACGATATACTACCACGAGAAGATACTGCACAGGATGTTTAAGGATCTTGGGTTCAACGAGCTCTGCACTTTCAGCTACTACAAGGGCAGCCAGCGAGTGCAGGAGACCCGGGAGAAATGGGAGCTCCTGAGCACCCACACGGCGAGGAAAACCTTCGTGGTGAACGCCGTATCGCTGGGCATCCCGGTAGAGATAATAATGAAGTGGACAGGCCACAAGAACATAAAGAACATGGACCCATACTTGAAGGTGGTGGACGAGATAAAACGCTCTCAGATGGACAAATTCAACGATATGTAGTTTTCATGTAGGGCACCCACGGAAGCACCCAATATGAAACGTGATATATCGTGATAAACCGTGATATAATCAATATGAAACGATATGTAACTCACTATAAATTAATAAAATAGCATTATGAACAATTTCATTTTCCAAAATTATATCAATATTGATAATCAGTGATTTGCATATCATAGCACCCAACAAGCACCCAGTTTTCCTTGCTGAAAAGCTGTTTGTAGGGGTGATGTAGTTATTATGTAGTTAAGGCTTCGGTCTTAACTACATTTTTTGTTGTTTTTGTATATGATACATTACTTTTACTTGAATTTACTTGAATTTACTTGAATTTACTTGAATGGTATGGTGATTGTAAGATGTTGAAATATAATTATTTAGATGAATTTTGAATTTTTCGTGAAATTAAAAATTCGGATTTTACTTGAATTTCTTTGATAAACTACAAATTTTGTATATTTTTGCGTTATGACAAATCTAATTCGGTTTGATTTTCTTGTGTTTGTTATATTTTTAATTATTGAGTAATTGATAAGACGAAAGCCGCAACCTGCGAAGGATGCGGCTTTTTTTATAACCAATCGGCAAAATGTGATGTGATCTCGCCAGTGATACTGGCCGGAGAAACGTGATCCTCCGGGGCGGTATGGGCGGCGATAATATCCACCACGTGCCGTATCTCGTGCGAGAGGGTGTTGAGCAGTTCTGCCTTGCTGCTCTGAGGACCCAGCATCACTATGATTTTCTTTGCCTCTACATTGCAGATGGTAGAGCCACAGTTGTGTGTTCTCACATTCTCGATGGACTTCTGCAAAACCTCGTCACCTACGGCCCAGGAACGGAGCACACCGAAAACGGCCGTGTGCTCCTCTGGCGAGAGATCCTTGTAGAAATGGGCGCAAAAGTCGCCAAGTTTCAGTTTCTTGATCATATCATATCCTCCCAGATGATTGCTATTCCGTTGGCGATGCAGTCGGAATAGAAGTTTGTAAATGCGCTGGTCTCGTAGTTGTGTTTGAGCCAGCAATCCACCAGCCGGGCAATGTCCTTCTCGCCATAGCCGGGCATCATGGATCTGAATCTCGCAAACAGATAGTGGGCATCGTAGCCGTTGTTGTTTTTGACAACATCAAAATCCTTGCATATTGTCTCCAGTAGTTTAGTTTCCACTATACCGGTGCCGTTGCAGAATTTCTCGGCCGCAAATTGCGCCATCCTCTTGCTGAAATGCCATCCGTACATGGAGAGGTAAGCATCCATGCCGGAAGGTCTGCGCTCGTATGTGTCAAGTCTAGCCATCGTGTCGCTCGTTGTAGGTTATTACTGATTTCTTGCTCTCCTTGCTCTGCATGTGTGCGAGTATGGCCTTTAGGGTAAACTCAATCTCACAGATGTGCTTGTGGAGAGTGTCGCTGTTGTCTGGAGCAGGGGCTGTGGCCTCCTTCTCGGTTGTCTTTGCCTGCATAGTGGCCTCGGCGGCCTCGGTGGCAGGATCATCGTTGATTTCTATTGCTTTCCAAGCCATAATGTTAGTTTTTTGATTGGGTTATAAAATCTTTCAACATTGTGCGCAAGTCCTGTATCTCCTGTTTCAACCCGTCCATTTCCTTGTCTCGCTCGGCCTCCTTCTTTATCTCCGGGGAGAGTTCCTCCATGAGCCTGTTGCAGTTCTCGATGGTGGATTTGTGGCGGTCGATGCTGTCGAGCACACGCTGCGAGTTGTTGCGGAGCGTGGCGATTTCGGTGATGATGGCCTCCTTGCTCATGGAAACCACCATGCCATTGTTGCCGAAGTCGGCGATGTTGCTGTCGGCCGGGAGTTTCTGCAAGTCGATGGCCTGACCATTCACATTTACCTTGACATCCACCACATTGCGCTGTGGCAGGTACTGGCCATTCTGCTGGTAAGTGGCATTGAACTGAGGCGTGGGAATACCCACAGAAACAACCTCGCCCAAATCTACTTTGGGCTGGTCGTTTTTGTAGAGAATATACACCGTTGCGCCTTGTCTAAGGGATTGAAACATAGTAGCGTGGTTTTAGACGTGTCGTGAAATAAGCTGGAGAACATTGGTAGGTCTGTCGTAAAAGAACAGATAAATGCCAGTAGCGGCAAGATCCGCACTTGTGATAGGCGTAGATCCTACATTGGTTATGTCCACATTAGAGCCTGCCACTCCAGCGGTGGCTAACTGGGTAGGCAGTGGTGAACTTGGGGCTGTGAATGTCTGCAAGTTGCGGAGCAGGAAAAGGCCCTGAAAATTATCCCTGAACCAAGTATGCTCTGCAATGTTGAAAACCACATTGGAAGCTGTAACATTGATGGAAACAACTTCCAAACATGGAATACCCTGCCTGTTGGCTAATTTGAGTGCTGCCATTTTGATAAATTTTTAGTTGGTAAATTGTAAAATTATTGCAGCCAAAGTGCCTTTTGGGACAAAAAAAATGCAAAAAAGGCACTTTAACTGTCAATTTTTGTGCATTTAGGCCCTACTAAGACCAAAGCGATCCTGTGCCTCCGATTCCGTATGGAGTAAGGCCGTAGTTGGCGGCCACTGGGAGCGGAATGGTGATAGTGGAAGGCTGTGCGTTCTTGATGGCCGAAACCTCGCCCTGCATTGCGGCGATGGCAGAGGCCAGAGGAGCGGAGTACTCTGCGTTGATACCACTGCTTCGCTGTTCTGGTTGAGGTTGCTGATTTGGTTCTCCAATGCGCTGTTGCGTGCGATGAGAGAATCAATCTTCGACTGGTACTCACGCTCTTTGAGCTCGCAGAATTTCTCGTTGAGCATGGCTGTTTGAGCGTCGATCTTTCCGGCGAGTATGCCTGTCTGCTCGATGTTGGCGAGTCGGTTCTCGTAGCCCTGTGTGGTGATGGCGTTCTTGATGTCGCAACAGCCCTGCGCCATCTGGTTGATGATGGAACAGTTGCCGGACTGGATAGCGTTGATCACCTGCTGCGATGTCATGCCAACCTGCGAGGCCACGTTCTGAACGCTTGTGCCGAGAGAGCAGAGTGCGCTCTGGATCTGCGATGTATCAACGTGAAGGTTTGTGGCAAGCTGACTGATAGCCCCACTGTTGCCGTTGATGGCCTGCTGCAAGAGCTCACGTCCTGTGTTGTTGTTCATCTGTGCTGAGAGGAAGTCTGTGCCGTAGCCATTGCGACCACCCCAGCCACCGTTACCCCAGCCCATGAGGAACATGAGGAAGAAGGCCCACATACCATTACCACCGAAACCGCCATTGTTGGCCAGTGCTGAAATTGTTGCGGCATCCATGCCACGATTTGCGAGCATTGGCGCTAGCATCGCCATTGCGTTGCATCCTGAGTTTTCCGGCTGGAAAACATAGGTCTTTGATTCTTCTGCCATAATAGTAAGAATTTTAGATTGTTATTGAATAAGGTTGATTTGTACGGCAAATTTGGCAATAGAAAAAAGTGTGTCAAAAAATTGTGCAAAAGTTTTTTATTACGTTGAAAATTAATCGTTTAGGCTGTCAATAAATTATGCAATCCGTTTTGTTGGTGAAGGAATAAAAAAAGCACGCTGGAAAAATTTCCAACGTGCTTTTTACGTGTGGTAGAACTATGTACCTAGAATGGCCATTCCGGGAAATCGTGGTAATAATCATCCAAATTTTGCCAGTCGTAATCATCCGGGGCAAAAGAGAATAATGTATAGCCCAGTGTATTCACAAGTTCGTACAAGTCCTTCTCGTGCTTGTGCGCAAAGAGAATGAAATGCTTGTACTTCTGTTTTGGCTCCCATGCCATAAGGCATTTGCGACCCAATTTGCCTTCCACCTGATCCCAATTTACAAATAAAAGTTGATCCTGTCTCATTTTGTGATACAATTTAATTAGAACTTTGCCCATGCGTCTAGCTCCGGGGCTGTACCTGCCGATACTGCATCCCAGAATCGCTCCACCCTGCCATACAGCGCATCCATCTGTGCGGCTGTGAGAGTCATGATCTTAGGTTTAAGCGCCTCGATAGATACATCGAAGTTTGTGGCGTGGCCTTCCAGGGCCTCGGCATCCTCGCTATGGAATACCAGCAAATCAGGCTGGTAGCGAATACTTTCGTCGGCGATAAATCCGTTAAGGCTGGCGGCAAAGAATTTCCATTCGTTTGCAGTGAACTTTCCCCTAAGCTCATTCTCTGAGCGTCTCTGGATCGTCTGCAACTTTGCGATAATGCTCTCCACTCCATTAGATACGGAAGGAAATTTTTCGAGAACATCTGCATAGGATTTCTCGATCCTTAAAGTGATTGTCTTTGTTTCTCTACTCATAATATTACATTTGTTTGCTTTGTGTTTGCAGATGCAAAGGTATTGCAAAGGTTAATATTTGCAAAACCTTTAACAGAATTTAACAAAAAACGGCGATTTTTCGGCATATTTTGTTAAATTCTGTTAATTTTTGCATTTTGTTTGCAAAATGTTTGCAAAATGTTTGCAAAATCAAAAAATACACTTTATATTTGCATCACGAAAAACAAAGAACGATGTTTGACACTTTAATAATTCTACGAAAATGCTAAAATATGAATTCGAGAAGAGGGTATTCCCTCTGATAGTATCAGATGAGGAATACAACGAGATTAACGCCGAATATGAGGCGTCGGATCTTGACAAGGATGTTTTCTGCCGCAGGTGGAGAATGAGAAACCGCAGCAGAATAGCACAGGCAAAGGAAGAGCTCCAGAAGCCACAGTATCTAAAATACAGCGGCAAGTATCTGTCCAAGAACGAGAGCCAGATGCTATCCTTTATTAAGGAGGAGGCCGAGAAGGTTGCAGAAGGAGAAGGATGGATTAAGAGCGACTTGGAGGTGGATTTTGAGTCATACCGCAAGTGGAAGCCCAACAAATTCACAATCTGTGTAAGAACCAAGGGCTCTTTTTCCGACTTCTACGACAAAGAGGACTTCAATTTCAAGCAGCAGTATTTCGGTAGCCGCAACGAGATCAAGAAAACATTCACAGTAGAGGCTAGATCCCTGACAGGTGAGTTTTTGATAACAATAGAGTAACTAACCCGGCCGAAAGCGAAAGCGAGTAGGCCACAAAAATTCTACGAAAATGAAACCAATGAGTTTTAAGGAACTGATCGAGCAGGTTGCCAAGGGCAACTGGATAATCAAAAAGGTTATCTATTCCGGCAAAAAGGCACGTATTGATGCTGAGACACGATTCTACAAGAGAGGAGAGGACAACTTCTTTTGCGAGTGGGGATCTCTGGAATACATCAACAGACTGAGATCCGAAAACGGCCTTGTCCCATTGCAGGATAGATTTGCAGTATAACATTAACCCGGCCGAAAGCGAAAGCAAGTAGGCCACTAAAATTCTACGAAAATGAAACCAATGAGTTTTAAGGAACTGATCGAGCAGGTTGCCAAGGGCAACTGGATAATCAAAAAGGTTATCTATTCCGGCAAAAAGGCACGTATTGATGCTGAGACACGATTCTACAAGAGAGGAGAGGACAACTTCTTTTGCGAGTGGGGATCTCTGGAATACATCAACAGACTGAGATCCGAAAACGGCCTTGTCCCATTGCAGGATAGATTTGCAGTATAACATTAACCCGGCCGAAAGCGAAAGCAAGTAGGCCACTAAAATTCTACGAAAATGAAACCAATGAGTTTTAAGGAACTGATCGAGCAGTGGTATCAACGCAGAGTACTAATCAAAAAGGTTATCTATTCCGGCAAAAAGGCACGTATTGATGCTGAGACACGATTCTACAAGAGAGGAGAGGACAACTTCTTTTGCGAGTGGGGATCTCTGGAATACATCAACAGACTGAGATCCGAAAACGGCCTTGTCCCATTGCAGGATAGATTTGCAGTATAACATTAACCCGGCCGAAAGGTTACGCCGAGTAGGCCACAAAAAAGATACCTATGGACTTGGAAATACTAACCCCAAAAGAGCTTGCTACCGTGGTGAAATTCACAAAGATCCAAGCGGAATCCACCAAGGAGCTCATAAACAGCAAGGCGTTTTTCTATGACAATCAGGCGAAACGTCTATCTCAGGCAGAACTGCTCAGAAGGGCCAATGCCGATATAAAAGAGTTGACCGCAAAAATCCAGACCCTATGCGACTATCTGGATGGCTTAGGAGAGGAAACAGAAACAGAGTAACTAACACATAAAGTAACCAACTAACACACACAATATGACACTATCGGAAAGCATGCAGAAAAAGGTGGATGATTTGAAGCTGGAGCTGAAAGACATCCAAGAAGTCCTGCACAAGGGCTACAACACCGACCTCTAT